TAAATTTGTCGAATGGGGATATCGCATACCCTGGGGAGCCTTGAGCAAATATGTGATTTTATGAATTAAAGCAAAATGGAATGATCATATTACTTTCGTTTAAAAAGTAACCAATTTAAACAGAAGGTGTGCGGTTTTCAATTGTATATTTACTGGAGATATATCGGAAAGCAAATATTTCATTAAAAATGTATTTGTGATTGGCATTCTCTTAACCCTTAGATGTACATGACATGATAGCATTAAACGGCATTATTATAAACAATTTTAGTACTTTTGTAAGCCCCAATAAGTACTAGGCGGAGGTTCTCAACATTTATTTATTTATACCAAATGGTAGGCGTTTTGATAGTTATCATTAGCCCTTTAGTTGACTTCAGGCTTCACAGAGGGGAAGGGACATCAAAGTGAAAGAAAGTCGAGAGGGGGTGGGGAGGGAACAGAAGGGTGTTTCAAAGACGAAGGTAGAAAGGTAGAAAAGAGATGAGGTGAGTACTGTGAAAGTAGTCGAATATGACATACAGTGGGATCATGGCAGTTTGAAGTCAGAAGTCAACTGCCGGTTAATAGACTTTTTCGCCGTATGAGTATACGTTGCCCAGGGTGCACCACGTGGTGGTAAGTCTATCGCACACCCCAGGCTCTCAACATTGATAGACTAATCCTAAACGCATGCCATTATACTGGTTGGGCCAATGGGAAGACAGTACTGAGAACTCAAAGTAGTCATTGGGTAAATCAGATAATGCGTTGTCGATCGCTATCAATCCTGATGGAGATAGGTGACATGAGAAAGGTGACCGCCTACTGGCCATCTGTTACCTTAATGTCACCCTGTCCTTCATTTTATCTTTCGAATACATTTGCAGGCTTTGTACCCATTCTTTTATATCGGCCTTATATAAATGCTGTGTCTTAATGAAGATTTATTAAAATCGCACTTCCTACAAAATGAGTAATATGAAAAATATACAGAAAGTATGCGAAAACAAAGAAGACTAACTGTAAAATGTTAAAAGAGTAAGAATCGATAAGAATGGAAAGGGGAAAATTGAAAAGTAACGTGTAGGTGCCAAATATCCTGATTTATTGGGGAGTGAAAGATTAACACTCACGTTTTACGGAGGCAAGGAAACATGTGACATTACCCCCCCCCCTCTCAAGAATTAAATAGATGTTATTCGTAAATTCGATTTAAAGATATATCGTCATGATGTGTCAACACACTGGGAGATTCAAGAAAAGTAAAAGTGCACTATCATTCAATTTACACACATACACCCATCAGGAATTAAATAGAACTATTTTCAGAAATAAGATATGATCTAAAGGTATAAATTATGATTAAAATTAACGTAGTTTACCTTGAACAAAGGACTATATTAATGTGCCTTAATTTTAAGAATTTTAAATAAGTATGGTAGTAAAAAAGCTAAAGACTATTTTTAGGCAGGTAAACACTGAAATAATTAGAAATTCTGTGTATTTAGCTTGTGCTAATGTATTTAGAATTTTAAGTTTTAAGGAGATCAGAGGTGAATAACATGACTGGAAATATAGCCAATCAGTGAAGATTCAAAAAAATTACAGTACGAACGTCTACATCTCATTAATTTCAGTGTCATGAACAAAAGTATGAATAATTATTTTTCAAGCACTTATTCAGGTGCCTGGGGGAACTATTCTGATAGCTGGGGAATTCTGAAAAGAAGAGGCAAAAATAAAACCAACATATCTGAGCTATAAGGTGACATCTAATAGCGATGAGGACTTTTAATAGCAAAATTCATTTCACAATTTGAAAAATTGTATACTACATTATAAATGTAATTAATTTAACTTCAACGATACGTTATCATTATAAAAATTTATTTTATTTTAAAAGTGTATATAAAACATATAAGATCTAATTAAAATAAGTATTTTAGTAAGTCATTTACTCTGTTTATGAGGGTAATTGACTTCGTGTTAACAAGTCCATCGAGAGAGAATATTTATGCAGTGAAAATAAAGATAGGTGAACAAACATAAAGGATTAATGAATGATGCAATCCATAATAGCTGATGCACTATTTCTTTAAAAAATCTGCAAGAGCACATAAGAGAAATGACGAAAAATGACGCCGAGTTAAATATAAAAACAAATTTTAACTATTGTAGACATATATTTTAGAACGCCAAATGAGGAGGCTATCATGAACAAATTAAAGCGCAAAATCATGATCCACTTTCATAAGCACGAAAGCAACCTTTTGTTGACTTATTACAATAAAAAATAGTAAAACAATACTTAAGATCTCTAGATTTTCAGAAAATTATTAAAGTCCTACTCTTTAACTTAGCTATCTTTTATAGCGGATTCAAAATAGATATCATTAATTTGAAGGGAATACTCTGCTTCTCAAATAATGAATCTTAATATATTGTTGTTTTATTAAACGTAATGTTTACAGGAACACTTGAGATTGTGACCTTGTACAATTATATCTCGTTTTCATTGATTTCAATATAAAATGAGTCAAGTTCTCCAAAAGTATGAAAAGCTGGAAAAGATTGGTGAAGGAACATATGGAAAAGTTTACAAGGCTAAGAACAGAGAGACTCACGAAATTGTTGCACTAAAGCGAGTTCGACTTGAAGATGATGACGAAGGTATTCCTAGTTCCGCTTTCCGCGAAATTTGTCTTCTTAAGGAACTTAAGCATCGAAATATTGTGCGGTAACTTGGGTTTCATTAATTTTATGTACCCTGTTTGAATTTTTCAGTCTATACGATGTGCTCATTAGCGAATCTCGTCTTACCATTGTTTTCGAACATTGTGACCAAGACCTTAAAAAGTACTTTGATGCCTGTAATGGTGAAATCGATCCAAACACAGTTAAGGTAAGATATATTTTGGCTATATATTGCTCTATCAGTATTTTATGTACCAATTGCTATTGGGTCTTCAATTCTGTCATGCCAACCATGTTCTTCACCGTGATTTGAAACCACAAAATTTGCTAATTAACTCGAATGGCGAATTGAAATTAGCCGATTTTGGTCTAGCTAGAGCTTATGGTATCCCAGTTCGGCAGTATTCCGCGGAGGTAAGTAGAGAAAATTTTCTAATTTACTCCTTAAGGTTGTGACTCTATGGTACCGTCCACCGGATGTGCTTTTTGGTGCTAAAATCTACACAATTTCAATCGATATGTGGTCAGCAGGTTGCATTTTTGCGGAATTGTCCAACGCTGGTAGACCACTTTTCCCAGGATTTGATGTCGATGATCAGTTGCGTCGAATTTTCAAGTGAGTTAGATTTTAGTTCTCCTCCTTTCTCTTTGTTTTTTAATTGAGTCTGATTTAGATGTTGAAATTAACAAGCGATTGCATGTTTTTTATTTCACCACCTGTTTGACATTTTGAATCTTTTCTACCTTTTTGAAATGAAATCTTTAATTTCTTGCCCACACTAATTATCTTTTTATTTTGGTATGTCATCGTGATTTTCAAAAATTTAAATTGAGAATTTATTAACTTTCGGTAAATTTTCCTCGGCCTATCGGTACTTTTTCATGACTTTTAGTTTAGTGCTCCATGGTAATTTTCCTACTTTTGTATTCACTTTATCCTGTTTGATTTCTATCTCTGTCACCCGAAACGCACCTTTCTTTTTTTTAAATTTTTATTCGACATATTAATAAATTGCTCATATTTTACCTGCTATTTTAACTTCTTTTGGTGTCTTTAATATTCTCGTTTTCCCAAACAATCGGGTGGACTCACTACCCTACTCTTATCTAAGACTTCTTGAAGGAATTTTCTTCTTAGTAGATTCAGCGTTCTTTCTAGGCATAATTTCTTGACAAGTATTCCTCATCACTAGATTACTTGGCACTCCAACCGAGGCAACGTGGCCAGGAGTCACCGAACTACCAGAGTACAAAGTAAGCCAGTTCGCTTTACATATATGTCCTTGCTTCTAAGCTTCTTAACACGTCATCACTGCGTGTCTTTTAGGCTTTCACCATCTATCCCAGAAATTCTCATTGGCATCAAGTTGTTCCTAACCTCTCGGTTCGTGGTCGAGATCTCCTGCAGGTGAATTTTGGTTTCCTCTTTTGAAACTGGTGTTTCCGATTTTATTTCAATCGACACTGTTGCCCCCACTTTCTCAATGGCACTTAAGAGGGTTCTCTTTAGCTGCGCTTAAATTTGAAATGGTTTAGAAGTAGCCTTCATTAGTATAATTCAATTCTTAAGGAGCCACTTCAGCTGCATCGGAATCTTGAAGAAGCGATGGCTCTTCTCCATATTATCATTTAATGGTGCTTTTTTGTGGAATTAGTTAAATTTTTTACCGTTATCTCCGAGTAAATTTTTATTTAAGTGTTTTTTTAAATTTCGCATAAATTGTAGCAATATATAGTTTGTTCGGTTATACCTTTTAGCAACTGCTCATCTGCAATCCTTCCGATCGGGCGAGTGCTGACCAGGCTTTGAGTCACCCCTACTTCGATTCAATGGCTCGCTAGCCAACTCGTTGCTACTACCTCTTCTGCCCAAACTCTCATGATTCTCTCTCTCTCTCTCTCTCTCCCATTTGATTGCATTTCATTCCAATCTGACACCCCTCTAATCCTTCCCCCCCCCCCCACCTCCTTCCTCCTCCAATTTGTTCCTGCTTTTTTCCCTTTTTCTGTTTCTTTATCGCTGTGTACATAAAATGTAATTTGTGATTTAAATACAACCACTGATTTATTTATTATCATTTGTGCAGCTTAAAATCTCATTTCTTAGATATGGTAGGGTTATCGAAATGGTTGTTAAAAGTACACTGATGGCTATGCCTGATCATTGTTGAGCTCCCAATGGAAAGAATAACCGACCCCACACTTGTATAGAAGCTATATAATCCGAGTTTCTCACAAAGGCAACTCTGAAGCCCTACCCCTCTATGAAAAGGTAATGCCGGAAAGTGAACTGGGCGTTATGACTAAAAGTAGTAACCATTTAGTGTGTATGTCAAGTCAGATTTCGAGAATTTCGATTCATTTCTAGTGATGACGACGAAGGAAGGCAAGTGTTCTCAATACCCTTGAAAAGAAAGCGAAAAGCTACATCTGAATGCGCTTTATCTCCCTGAATTCTGGACACTTAGATTAGAGTTATATGTTCTCTATGCAATACGCAATACCAACAACCAATTGTAATAAACAGCTAATGGGAGTCTGAATCCATGATTGGAACTTGATTGGGTAAACGCTTATATTTCTCTCTCACTAGTGTTTTCTATAGCAAATGCTGAGTGACAAACGTGGTGACCTGTTGTATCTTTAGTAGAAGAAATCATTTATACTGCGGATTGATAGAGTGGCAGATGATGTTGAACTGGATGGACGTGAAATATTCTTCTTGGTATTGGAGCCTTCTCTGACAGGAGTTTTTGAAAGCGGCCTTTTCTCATCGATCGCCCCCAGCATATCTGAGGCATTGAGATCAACCACCTTTGCAATTGACGTCCCTGGTGAAGTGGAAGAATAAACATTACTAACATATTATGAGTAGTCTTTAATATACACAAGATCATACTTACCGGATTCTACACTTTGACGATTTTGCCCGCTATCAAAGGTTCTGCTATTGTCTACGCTACTGGCTGGTGACGGAGTCTTAAGTCCATACTTCTTGCACAGTTCCTGGGCTATGTTAAGAACATCTTCATTGACGTTTGGAGAAGACTTAATACTGAAAGCCAGGAGGTTATTCACGGATTCATTGAAGTCTTTAAGAAGTTTGATCTTTAATAATGATTATTGATTTTAGTTCTGGCAATTATCTTACTTCGATATCTGATCTCACAGATGAGTTGGTTTGAAGAGCCTTAGTTTTGACTAGTGTAAGTGCTCTCAGAGCTCTTTTGAGTTTACAGTCTAGTTCCTCGTTTGTTTTCCGTAATTTTGCAATATCCATCTCATGGATTGCGGCGATTTTCCGCATCTTGGAGATATTTTCTTCCAAAGAATCTAACTCTACCTCATATCGCTGAAAAATGCAGTAAATAGGGAATAAGGTTTAATTCTCATGGTTAGTACCTGCTTAAATCCAAGCAAGTCCCGTGGAATCGATTATTCGATTATATATGAATGATTGGTGGATGTTAATCTGGCAAATTTGACTAAAACCGTATACACTAAAATGTTGCGCTCGTTTATTTCACTTCATCAGGATAATTAACGATATAGCAAAATCTCCTAAATCGTGCTATCCTTTATTGACTCCTCTTATTAAAAAATGATAATTTTAGGTCCATGTAAAGAACAGTAGTTGGGTGGCGGGGGGGGGGGGGGGGGTGGAAGAGGGTTGTGAATAATTTTCAATTTGCCGCTTTTAACGACGGTTGAGTGGAATTCAGCAAATTTATCGGGAAACAATTAAGGATATCTGAAATGTGAACTTACAAGAATGTCGGCACGTATGATTCGACGATTCTCGCGAGCGGCCCTCAACTTTTCCGAAGAGATATTAAACTTTTCTACCAAATCTTCTTTATTTTTCGTTAGTTCTGGATCTTGGCTCTGACAGGATAAATGTGGAAAATACAATTTTTAGTTCAGAAAATTATAAGCATTGTAATTTCCAGGAATATGGGATGCGCGATTGACTTACATCCACGCGGTGCTCCCTGGACAACCCACTCATGCGGCAAAAAAGTCTATAAATCGGCAGTTTAATTCTGACTTCAAACTACCATCAACCCCCCCCCCCCCCCCCCCACNAACTCCCCCCCCCCCCCCCCCCCCCCCCCACAGTATGTCATATTCAACCACTCTCGCAGTACTCATCTAACCTTTTCTCTGCCTTTGTGTCTGACTCTTTCACATCTGTGAATCACTCTTCTGTTTCCTCTCTCCATTTTTTCACTTTGATGTTCCTCCCCACTTTGAAGCCCAAAGTCAACTAAAGGGCAAATGATAACTATCAAATAGCATGTCATTTGATTAATAAATAATAAATATTTCTCAGAATATCGTTTAGTATATTTCATTTCCAAATTCGTGGTAAGCCCCTTTTTATTTCACTAATTTCTGAAAATCTATATTTTAGAATATTACTAAAATCTCAATGCATAACTTCCGCCATATTCATTTTAACTACTCTATTATGAAATAGAATATGAAAGAAAATCAGTCCAATATCAATGCTATCTCCAAATGAAGTAAAACTAAATATATTGTTTAAATTGATTTACAATGTTTTACTCTGGTTTATACTTTAAGTTATAGACGAAAGTTGAGTGAATTGTTAAAATGGGAATAAGTTAACTTACAGCAGTATAGGAACGAGCATTTTCGTTCAGAGTGGTCATTACCAGAAGTGTATTTTCAAGGGCTTTCAACTCCTCTTCCGCCTTCTTGACTTCCTGGTCAAGTTCGTCACCTTTCGCCTGCAACTCCGTGTGTTCCACTAAGGACTAATGGAAAATTGAATTCGTATTCAGCGTTTACTGGAAAATGTGCAATTTCTACTGATGCTCAAATAAGTAGGCAAAATTTTATTTCTTCGAAATAAGTGTTAAAAGTTAAAATTCTCTTCTAGGGAGGTTTACTAAATCAGATTAAGTTAATATTTTATACCTTGACAATTAAATTAATATGCGCCTGTTCGAAGCCAATTTCCTCATCCCCCGAAATCTTTGAAGTCTCAATATCGTATCTAAAAGGGATGATTGCAAGTGAGATCATATTTACTAATAAATACTAAGTAGTAATGCTAACCTAGCCATAAGTTGATCTACACGCCGTTGCCTTCGTGCGAGGTCAGTTTTGATTCGGGAAATATCTTGCCCTATAGTTCGCATTTTAGCTTCGACTTTAAAGACCCGTGCGGAAGATTCTTCTTCTAGTTCCCTGGTTAGTGCAGCTATTGTTTTTGAACGAACCTCAGCACTTAATGAGCATTCTTTCCACAGTCGACACTGTTCTTCCGCTCGTCTCAACTATGGTAAAAGTATTCGCATAAAGTACATATGCACATTAGTGTTAATAAACTTCGTACATATTGGCGTGGTTTTGGTCACCTGATAGCGGCAGAGATTGAAGAAAACCAAAAGGTCGTTTCTGTCTCGAATAGCTGCCTCGAGGCTTCGGCTGGCAGTGGTTATATAAAGATTTACGTTGTCCATTTCGGAAGACTCCTTTTGAATGAGCTCTTTCAGTTTCTCCGTCTGAAGATAGAGTAGTCGTTTTTCGCTCTGTTAAAAAAAGGAAACTTGATGTCAAAAATTTTTTTTCGTAAAGAGGCAAGATCATCAATTAAACATTAACCTTAAAATGCCGAAAAGCAGGTATTTCACTGGGTGCTAAGGTGTTTTATTGGTAAAGTCAAATGTTATGATTTCTACCTTTTTCGCGTGAAATGGAAAGAACCTTGATTTACTATTAGTCGGCATGGGACCCAGCTAATGTGTCACTGGAGTTTACTACTTAAAAACTATTGGCTAAGATGCACCCAATCACAGTTCAGTGCACATAGCCATTGTGACGTGATTGTCACAGACTCCCACAAATTGTTCTCTGAATTGATCGATATGTCCTTTCATTCTTTAGTGAATGCTTTTTAATAGCATGTGGAATTAATTTTTAAACAAAGCAACTCAGAAGAAAATTGGAATAGAAATTTTATACCCTCGGGAGATTTTGAAGCTCGACTAAATGTGATGACCCGTTTCCCTCGTTTCAATTTAACCTGAAATTCTCATAACTTTGCATTGCTCACAAAGTTAGAAGAACGCATAAATATTAGTTTACTTCATCAAACAACCTTCAATCTGCTTCAGAGCACTTTTGTTAACACTAACTTACAAAGAACTGTTCAATCATATTAGCCAGACTCTTTGAACTCTGACACTGATCGTCATACTGTTCTTGAAGGTGTCGAACATGGTTTTCCAGTGCTATACCATCCGAGTCGAAAGTCTTGTTACTCTCCATCCTGAGAATCCGACTATCCAGGGAGTTCGCTTTGTACATTGCATTGTAGATGAATTTTTCCATTCGTGTTAGCTCCTAAAATGAAACAAATGGATAAGGACTTTTCTTGCTTTTGCAGTAAACTCACAATCAATTTGATATATCAAAACTTACCAATTCGTCGTTAGTTATTTGTCGTTCTAAGTACTGCATTTTCTGACGACTTCCAGTCATTTGAACTTCAATTGTCTTCTTGTCGCTTTCAGCCTTATTTCTCTCCTATAATTAACATAATTTCTCAAATTTTATAATAAATTTTATTTGTATATAAGATTTTAACAGTGCTATTTTTGCAGTTTTTCGTTAATAATGCGCTATTATATATTCATGTTCATAATTATATACTCATACGGCCAAAAAGTTTATTAACCGGCAGTTGACTTCTGATTTCAAACTACCATGACTCCACTGTATAACATATTCGACAACTTCTACAGTACTCATCTTTCCATTTATCTACCTTTGTGTCTGTCTGTCTCTTTCACATCTATGAATCACTCTTCTGTCCTCCTCCCATCTTTTTGTCACTTTGATGTTCTTCTTCCTCTCTGTGAAGCCCAAAGTCAGCTATAGGGCTAATGATAACTACCAAAACACCTGCCATTTGAATTCAATAGAATAAATGCTAAATAATGTACTTTTTCTGGTATTCAGGAGGTTGAACAAAATATGGGCTTACTTCTATAAGTGTGTATCTTTTGTTCTTGAGAGCAGTCATTTTCTTTCTGATTAGATCCTGACACTGAAGTTCCGCATCTAGCTCTTCTTCCACCAAACGCAGAGTTTCTTCTGCGGAAATATTCTCCGTCTTTAGATGTTCCAATTTCCGCTTCGTCGTTTCCACAGCATTTTCAGTAGTAAGGAGGCTAGATGGCAACAAGTGTAAACTCCACTCATATTTCATCTTATTCAAAAATTTTTTTATTTGGCAGCAAAAAATATGTGTATGTATTTAATTTGCTGTTTTTTTATAGAAAATTTGTATGATTCAAGGCTACCTTTGAATAGTAGTAGTTGGGCAAGTGGAAAATTAGATTTAAATTAAATAGTGTTCATGTGGAGTGGATCCATTTGAATCGTGTAGAAAAGTTTTACAATGGTGATTTTTAACAAAAATAAATAGTTTCAAAGTCTAATAGCCAGTGGACTAATGTCCGAAATAATTGACTATGATACTAATCAATTCTTATTCGGCAAATGCTACAATCAACCCTGATGATTAAAATTGCCTAGAATTGAGCAACAAGGCAGCAGTTTCACGACAGTGTGGCCCATCCCTGAACGTAATCGCCACCTCGACAACTCAAAGAGTCGCACACAAATCTTCTGGTAGTAGGGTGCGACAGACTTACCTCCACGTGGTGCACCCTGGGGGACGTATACTCGTACGGCAAAAAAATTTATTAACCGGCAGTTGAATTCTGACTTCAAATTGCCATGACCACATTGTATGTCATATTCGACCACTTCCACTATACTAATCTTACCTTTTCTCTGTCTTTGTGTCTGTCTGTCTCTTTAACATCTTTGAGTCACTCTTCTGCCCCCCCCCCTTCTCCACTTTTTCTCACTTTGATGTCCCTCCCCACTGTGAAGCCCGAAGTCAACTAAAGGGCTCAAGATAAGTGTCATAAAGCCTGCCATTTGATATAAATAAATAGTCGAGGGCAATTTGCCTCCCTTAAACCTACTCCGTTGATAACTTTGTATTCGCATTCTTCATGTGAGAATTCGATGTACGCTGTTGTAGTAGGTCTTCCGATACTCTAGTTGCATGTCTCTTGAGTGCTTCGAGCTGAAATTCGCAATAAAAAATAGCTGAACCCTACTCAAAGTGCAAATTGTTTAAAGACAAGCGCCGTCAAACCTCATTTTCACTGGTAGCTGAGTCCGCCTTCTCTTCCCTCGCCTGAAGACGAAGATCGCCGACTTGCTTATTCAATTCGTTGGCCTTGGCGTTGGCTTCCGCAATATCCTGGCCAACACTTCCTAGTAGCTTCTCCAACTCATGCAACCTTGCTAGTCTCTCATTTATGTCCGATAGTAATCCATCGTAATCCTTAAAAGCCAAAATTTGCTCAAACGTTTGAATAAATTTTTTGTTGATAAATGTGGCGCGATAACTGTTGATGTTAACAAATAGGTGTTGAACAATTTAGAACTCGCTAAAGTCTGGAATGTAGACTTCTAAATACGATTGACGAAATCGACATTGATGTTTACTGGAATCTTAGCCCTCCTCAAGGGACAGAGAAATTGTAATC